TTTTTTTTTTTTTTTTTTTTTTGCCTCAGAGCAGGAGACAGAACACTAAGAATAATAAAACAAGATTGGTAACACATACCTGGCCTTCGAATCTGGGGGTCAAGAGCAGTTGCCTCAGTTGCTCCACATTTGTTTGTTGCTCCTGAGTTTGAGCCAGGCCCTGCTCCCTGCCAGGTGGGGAAATTAAAGCTCAGGGAGTTGATGAGTTCAGCAACATAAAACGGCACGTAAGAATCACTGGCTCAGGGCAGATGACAATAAACCAGGAAGAGCATGAATGAGCAGAGTGGATAAATAAGAGAAGAATATTTGTCAACTACTGCAAGGAACAAGACAGGGAGGGAGAGGAGTGCCCTCTGAGGAGATGAAGTCAGAATGACTCCTGGTGATGAAAAGATGATTTAAAAAACAAAAACCCAGGTAGAGAGAGCAGCAAGTGCAAAGGCCCAGAGGCAGGGCTGAGCTGAATTTATTGCAGTGGGGGTGGGAGGAGGCCAGGGTGGTGGGAGCTGAGTAAGCTGGGGAGAGGAGAAGAGACCAGAGAGGCACGGGGTGAGTGAGGCAAGGTGGCAGCCAGGGCATGGTGAGCATATGGCTGTTTCCCAAATGTCTTTGCCCCCACTGACCTACATCCCCAGCCCTTTTTATTTCTATTGTGAAAGAGGTTTTCACTAAGTTGCTAAGTGTCCAGGGTGGGATCTAACTCGTGATTCTCCTGCTTCAGCTGGCTCCTTTTGCTTTTGAGACCCTCCTTACCCATTCTGGGTGAAGCCTTGGCTCCCTCCTGTTCCTGGAACCCCTCTGTGTGGTCCTACCCAGGATCCTTTGCATGGCTGTTCCTCTGCTGGGGGCTCCCTCCCTCTACTCCTGCCTCCACTGGCTCCTGCTCACCTACCCAGGATCCTTTGCCTGGCTGTTACTCTGCTGGGCACTCCCTCCCTCTACTCCTGCCTCCGCTGGCTCCTGCTCACCTCCTTCAGGCCTTTGCCCACTATCACCTCCTCCCAGAGGCCCGCATCCATGCATGTGAGGATGCTCCCCTCCTCTGGGCCTCCTTGACTCTTTCTTGGCTCCATTTTCCTTCACAGCCCTCATCAACATCCACGCATTTGTCTTAGTTTTCTTTGTTGGCCTCCCCAGCAGAAAGTCAGCTGTACAAGGGCAGAGTCTTCTTTTTCTTGTTCCCCACTGTTTCCAGTTCCCAGGCCATTGCCTGGCATGTAGTAGGTGAACAATAAATATATGCTAAGCAAACACATAATATACAAAGCAATCTGAGTGTCCTGAGAGCTCATCCCTGTGCATACGTGGAAACTTCTCACTGGCTCCTCTCACGGGTGTCTCTTTCACTCTTGTGGAGTGACCAGCAGCCTCCTGAGGGACAGGGTTGATGGCTTGTCCCCAAACCCCAGATATGCACAGTCAACATTGTTTCAACTCATGGCTGATTTATTTTCCTCACCCACAGGTGGCAAATGTAGGCAGTGGTCCCGATTATGCCGGAAGCAGGGCAGGTAAGTCCAGCAAACATGGGACACTTCGAGACCGGGCCCCCCACGGCTCACCACACCAGCCTCCTCCCTCCCCTCTAAGAGCCTACAGCGTGGTCAATACCGGAAGTCAGGAGAGAGAAGGCGCAGCTGGATGGCAGCCATACACGGACTGACAGCCAGTCCCCACCTCCCCACCCTGCCCTCCCCTGAGGGCTGCCAGCTCCCTGGGCCTGGCTCAGAGAAGTAAAGTGCTGTGAGATCCTTCTTCCCCTGTGGCCTCTGATTGTTCACAGCAGGGAGGGAGGGACCCTGCCCCTGAGGGGTAAAGCAGTGGGTAGAGGCCCCACAGCCTCATCCCAGACAGACAGGACTGGGAAGAAAGTGGAGCAAGTGACCTGGTGGGAGGAGGCAGGAGGACCAGGGGACAGCAGGAAAAGTGGTGACTCCAGCCTGTGAGCGGCAGGTGGGATTTGAGGCCCCTCTCAGGCTTGTTGTGTCACAAATGGAGTCTTGTATGCAGTCAGCTCACCACAAACAGAGGCTCTGCTCACATGACCCTCTCTGTCTTTGGCCTTCTGGGTCTCTCCCTGTCTCAGGAGGCCTCACACACGTGAGTGTGGACAAGCTGCCCGTACCCCAGGCTCCTCCCCACTCCCCAGCCTACAAAGGACCGCTGCTGGCAACCTCTTAGCTTTGGGTGTGGCACCGGGCAAGTTGGGCCAGCCCCGGAGTGGGCTCTAAGCACTGTGTGGGGGCCTGAGAAGGTGCACAGATTCTGGTGGGCATTCCCCGAAGGCCTTGGGCTCCACAGCCAGGCCAGGCCAGGGCAGGCAGACACGTAGCTAGTCACACCTCCATGCCCCAGTGTTCTAAATCTGTGCATTCAACCAACCTTGGATTGAAATCTCGGGGTTGGGGGGACTGCCTCTTTATTGAACATGTGCAGATTTTTTTCTTGTCCTTATTCCCCAAACCATAGAGTTTAACAGTTATCTACACGGCAGTGACATTGTGTTAGGTGATATAAGCCATCCAGACACGATCTTAAATACGTAGGAGATGTGTGTGAACCATAGGCAAATCCATGCTGTTTTATACAAGGGACTGGAACACCACAGATTCTGGTCCCCTGTGCACACCTAGCAAGACTGTACGTGGAGTTTGGGGGTGGACTGACAACATCTTATCCTTTTGCTGACTCCGGGGTCCTGCCGAACAGGCAACCCACCCAAGCCTTGGTGTCAGTCTCATAAACGTCACCGACCACGCCAGGGCTGATCTTAGTTTCCAGCCCCTTCACAGCTGAGTTGGTGTGTGTGGCCCAAAGCCCCCACCGGAAGTCACATTGTTAGAAATGATCTCTTGTGACCCGAAGCCACCCAAATACAAGGGTGTTCACTGCAAGACGCTTCCCAGGGTTTAGAGCGACCTTCCAACAGCTGAGGGTTCATTCTTCACTACAGAGACTCTCTCTCATATTGCTTGATGGATTTAGAGATATTCACCTGTAATCCCAGCACTCTAGGAGGCTGAGGCAGGAGGATTGAAAGTTTAAGCCCAGCCTGGGTAAATCAGTTACTTAGCAAGACCTTGCTCCAAAATAAAAAAGAGCTGAGGATATAGCTGTGTGAAGGTCCTGGATTCAATCTCTAGTAACACACACACACACACACACACACATACACACACACACCAGTAAACATATGATCCAGAAATTCAACTCGTATTTGTCCAAGAGAAATGGAACCATATGTCCACATGGACTTGCACACAAGTGTGTATAGTAATCTTTGTAGTGGTATTAAAAAAAAACCTGGAAATAACTCAAATGGCCTTTGGAATAGATAAGTGGATATAAACTGTATACCGATAAACAACATAGATGAATTACAAAAGCATTAGTCTGAGGGAAGGAAGCCAGACATTAAAGAGCCAAGATGCTATAAATCCATTTGTGTGAAATTCTGTAATAAGCAAAAGTAACCGATGGAAACTGGACACTATGGAACACGTGTAGTTTCAGCTACTAGGGAGGCTGAGGCAGGAGGATCCCTTCAACCCAGGAGTTCAGAGCCAGCTTGGACAATACAGTGGGACCCCCATTTCAACAAGTGAAAGAAGGGAGGAAAAACTAATTGATGGTGATAAAAATCAGAATAGTAGTTTCCTCTACCTCTGTTATGTCCAGAGTGGTGGGGTGGGATTGACTACAAAGAGGCATAAGGGAGATTTCTCGAAGGACTGAAATATTCTGTACCCTGACAAAGGTGCAGAATATGCATCCATATATACTGGTCAGAAGGGATGGGACCATACAGTTTGCAATGTGTAAGTCACACCTCCACAAGAGCCACAGTGAGACTGAAAAGCAGCAGGCGGCTCCATCTTGAGTGGTGCCTGTTTCTGGACCCCAGGACCCAGGCAGAGGGCGGGATTCGTGTATGAGGGCGCCTCTGACTGGGGTGGAGGGGGAAGCTCTGAGGCGAGCTGGTTTGGTCCTGTTCTGGGAATCCTTTCCAGAGTAGCCTCTCCAAAGAGCTCACTACCCTCTGATTCCCTCTGGCCAGGCCATTTTTTTGCTTAATGTTAAAATCTCAGTGGTTTAGACAAAGGTTTGTTCTCATAGCACATACTGATTGTGGACTGATTGTGAGTCCACTGGGACCCTGAATACCAGGAGGAAGCCACTAAACCAAAATGTTTCTGGCTGTCATGGTGGAAAGAAAAAGAACAAGGAGAGATGCACGCTGACTCCTCTAACCTCTGCAAGGAAGGGATGTAGCATTTCTGCTCCCCTTTGTGCTGGCCATTTGAATTCAACAGGGCAGGAAACTCCAATCTTCTTGCAGGGAAGGAACAGAAATACAATATTTTCATCACCTTTCTGTTGCTGAGACAAAATACCTGAAATTTAAAAGTTAAAGGAGGACAGGTTTGCTTTGGCTCGCGGTTTGAGAGATCAGCTGACTCCATTGCTTTAGGTCTGTGGCAGGGCTGAGGCATCATGGGAGGGTGTGGTGGAGGAAGGCTGCTCACCTCATGGCAGCCGGGAAGTGGAGAGGAATGAACGACCTGAGAAAAGGTGAACTTTGCAAAGATGCCCCCCCGGTGACCCACTTCCTGCTACTACTTATTTCCCTGAAAATAAAACCTAACCTGAAAATAAGCCCTAGCACGATCTTGCAGGAAGGTTGTGCCCTCCTCAAAAACAAGCCCCAGTTAAGATCATCGGTCAGATGGATCCGTTTAGTACATCTGTTGTAATGCACGAAGAGCGTATTGAATTATAAAGTAATAATATTAATATACAGTTAAGTAGAAATAAACAATATTATTGGCGTTACTGCCTAAAATAAATATTGCACTCAAGTATTTGTAAACTCAAGTGGGCACTTTTGGACACCTTAATAAACAGATGACCCTGAGACTTATTGTTGAATGACCAGCCAGAGTACAGACACAGTGTACGAAAAGCTTGTGCACTTGATAATGAACAGACATGGTTGTGTCTGATATGAATTTCCATAGCTCACTACGTCATATGTTGAACCAGACATACTTAAAGCCCTTACATGAAATAAGATGTTTTCCGAATTTTGGCTCCTGCACTTTTTTGTTGCTTTTGTGTGGACCACCCTTAACTGGCATCATTCTTGTTACCACTCCTATCTCGTAAGTCTTCCGTTAACACTTGATTTAATGAAAACTTTGTGACGCCCGGCCCGAAAGAGGTCGCGACTTGGGTGAAGAATTCATGGGATAAAAATCACTGACAGCCGCGCTGCCGATGCACTAAAGCAGGCTGCACGGATGAGAAGTGCTCATTTAAGGAGAGCTCTGTTGCTGGACGTGAGAGGTTGGGGTCAGTGGTTCTCAAGGAAATGGAGTTGTAAGAAATTCAGGCCAGAATTTGGGGTTTGGAGAGTTACGGCCATATTCTAGAAGAAGATGACATGACTCTATTTGAATAAATGTAGATTTTTGTACATGAAGAATGTAGAATGCTGCGCATAAAAAATATATCCCCTGAAAATAAGCATTGTTGCCTCCTTTGGAGCAAAAATTATATAAGACTGTGTTTTATTTTGGGGAAAATATGGTAGGCCCATCACCTTCCAATGCCATTAAATTATCATCTCATCTGTGGATTAATCTGCTGATCAAATGAGAGGCCTCATTATCTACCACCTCCCACAGGCGCATCAGAAACCAAGCCTACAATACAATGAGCCTTTGGAGGGACCCCAATCATGACGTACAGTTTACTACAAGGGGTATTCTCTCACATAGCTAGAATTCTGTATTCAGCTGCAGGAGACACAAGGTAAGCCAGAAACAGCAGTGTCTGGAAGAGGTGATTCATTGCTCTCTCATATAACAGAACCGGAAGTATGTGCTCCAAGCCTGGGGAGTGGGTTTTTTAAAATCATAAGGGACCAGGTTCCTATGTCAGGTGGCCTGCTACCACCTTTAGGATGTAGCTTTAAGTTTCAGGATCACAGAATGTCTGCAGGAGCCTCAGCCATCCTGCCACAGTGTGTGTGTGTGTGTGTGTGTGTGTGTGTGTGTGTGTGTGTGTGCAGGAGGGGCGGGTGTTATAAAAGAGGAGAGGAAAAAATTGTGGGGAAGAAAAGTTACCATTGCACAATTCAGCTCATTTTAAAGAGACTTCCTACAGGGGCGGTGGCACAGGCCTGTAATCTCAGCTACTCAGGAGGCTGAGGCAGAAGGGTTGCAAGTTTGAGGCCAGCCTGGGCCACTTGAGACCCTGTCTCAAGATAAAAATTTAAAAAGGGGCTGGTAGTGTCGCTCAGTAGCAGAGTGCTTACCTAGCATGCAAAAGGCCCTGGGTTCCATCCCCAATACTGGGAGGTAGGACTTGCCCAAGATTTCCAACCAAAGACTTCTACTTACTTCTGATTGGGCCTCTTCCTTCTCAAAGGAAGCTGAGAAATGTAGCCTGTTGACTGAGACCGTGACACCCTGAATACCGTCAGAGAAAACAGTAGCCTCCATGAGAGTTTGTTGATAGGGCAAGGAGGACTCCTAGCTTCCTCCAAGTCAGGAGATGGGGGCTATTTTAGTTACTTTTCTTATTGCCCAATACTTGCAAGTCAAAGGAGGAGAGGTTTATTCAGTTCACAGTTTATAGAGGTTTCAGTGCATAACCTGCTGGCTCCGAGGCAGAGTGGCATGGCAGAAGAGAAAGAGTTCATGGTAGGCAGAAGGGAGCAAAGCCAGCGAGCAGGGGACAAGACAAGCCTCTTTGTGTTCCTTATATT